CCGCGGATCTGCGTGAGGGGTGGCACCGAATTTCAGAAATGTAGCAAATCCCTTGTGTTTTTGGACCCTGACCCCGCGGATCTGCGTGAGGGGTGTTGATTTCGAGCCCCCCCAGTAATTCAGACAACGCGCCCAGGGGACGCTGGAAAGTCTTGTTTGGGCCTCCCCCCCCCTCGCGCGGTCAATCAACTAGTTTCAGTAACCAGCAAGAAGTCAACTAGTTACAGTAACCAGCAAGAAGCAGAACTGTAACACTGGAAACTAGAAACTACAACTGGTACAGGAAACTGCGAATCACGCGCCTCGCAGCCTGGTGGCCCCACCAGGGGGCCGGCGGATATAATCTATAAATAAACAAATAAATTACTATGTACCCCTTTCCGTGCTGGTGGGTCGATGATGCTTTTGGGGGTTGCGGAGGGGCCTCCTTTCTCTTACCATGGACCATGGCTCAAGCACCGCTCCACGTATTACAGATGAGGCGAAAGAAGAGGGGGGGAGTGGAGGACGAGTAGGATGGAGAAGCTGAGGAGGAGGAGCAGGACGATCGCAATCGAGGGTGAGGAAGAGGAGGATGCATGGCGTGGAGGAGGGAACCGAGAAAAGGTACATCGGGTACACGAAGGAGCTCCTGGAGTTCTTGTGAGCGGGGCGCGCCAGGGCGCGGTCGACCCCCGAGGAGGAGGAAGCGGAGGGGAGGGGAAGGAGGAACGTGGAGACCAGCGCAACTCCTTCCCCCCCGGGGTGGCCGCTGCATGGTGGCCAGGCTCTCCTGGCTGAGCGCTTTGCAGCGGCTGTTCCTGAGGGGCCCATGCCGTGCACTGGGGGAGTGCGCCAGCACCAGTTCACCACGCGTGAGAAGCGCGTACCGCCTCGGAGGAGGACGCAGGAAGGGGGAAGACGGGGGAGGCACAGATTTTCACGTTTCCCGCAGCTGGGCGGCCGATTTTCGACCGTGGCGCTTGGTGCTTGCGGGTCGCCTTGTTTCCTATTCATCGCCCTCCTCGTCCAAGGCTTGGTCGTCGTCCTTCTCGTCCAACTCCTCCTCCTCCTCCTCCACCGTAGCCATTTTGGCTCAAGGCTTTGGATTCCCAGCGGAAACAAGTGGATACCGCTAGTCCGCGGCTAGACCCCAGTTTCTTTCGTCGCACCGCTGCGTGAGCCGCTCCCAGGCGACGCAGCATCAAGTGTTTCGCCTTCACTGCGGGAGTCGGGCACCCGCCACGGATGCCAGACCGCACTGAGAAAAAGGACAAGGATAAGAAAGAGAAGAAAGAGAAGAAAGATGGGAAAGTCAAGAAGGGTGGCAAGAGTGACGGCACCCCTGGCAGACGGAGGCAGGGACGCTCGCCTTCTGATAATGGCTCCGGCAGGCTGTCTCCTGTGTCTGCTGCCTCGTCTCCTCTGCACACGCCGCGTGCTGCTCGGCGTGATCGGCGCGGGCAGGACTCGACCCCTGGCCAGCGGTCTCGCAGCAGCTACGGCGAGCACTCCACTGGCGCCGAAGCCCGTGCACCCGCTGCTGCCGCTGCCCTTGATACCATGGCACTCCTGGAAAAGCTGGCAGCAGCACCCACGCTCCCGTCGCAGGAGCTGGTGGGGGACATGGGCGGCGCCTCCGCTGGCAGCCAGGGGCCCCAGGCTTGGCCAACCCCTCCACACCATCATC